GATCCTGGACATATTTCTGGAACATTCAAAGACAAGTGAATTCAAAAACAAACTGCATAATAAAATATGCAATGATGAAATTCGAAAATTTTTCTTTCGACGTTTGGATGCAGTCAGAAAAATAATTCAAATTCTGCATGTTTTTTTTTTCTGACTTTGAGAGACTCAATATTTTCTTCGCTCCCGAATGTGGGTTCTGAAGGTGAAGATTATTTGACATGTACCAGCATACAAGGAATGCGTTTAATATGTCGAGTACCCTGATGATAACATTTTATAGCAACGTAAAATTGTGAATCACAATCTCCCGAATAGCTACTCCCATTAGAAAACAAATTTCAACTCGATTTTGCGAAAGCAATAATTCACGAACAGAAGTGAGGAAAAACCAACTTTAGCCTCAAATCATTGTTTTCACGATTTATTTTCAAATGTGAGCTTCTTTTAAATATTCATTCGATATTACGGTAGTGTCGTTGCCTCGTGGGAATATGCATTATTGTGAAAGAAATGTCTACCTCTGCAATAAGTTGCAAGAGAACTGACTTTTTTAAATTTGTAAAACCTGACTTCTCTCAAAAAGTCTTACTGTACTAAGAAATTAAGTTTTCGTTGGAATAGATTTTAACTTTTGAAAAAAAAAAACATGCCCGAACAGCTACAATATATTACAGTTGAAGACAGGCGCGTCTTCAAAAAAGAAAGCAGACTCATACTATTTCCTTTTCAAAAAATTAAAATTTGAATTCCATGCAGGAAGATTATTTATTAAATGAGTAATTTGCAACACAAATTTTCATGAACAATGATTCGATTGTTCGCTGAAGCCGGTTGTCTGCAGCCTGCAAAACACTCGTGATACCACCTCACGAATGTACGGTACCTTTGGGATACCAGGTTCTCGAGAAAGACCTAGATGTCGCTCCGCTAGCACACCACTGTTCGTTAACACTGTTTTCTCGTCGTCATAAACATCCCACGCTTTGAAACGACAGCCGAAATATAACGCCATCGATCCAAATCTCTGATCAGCTCCTTCGAAACACACGCAAAGAAAAAGATCGAAAGAAGCCTCAAATTTGAGCAGATAAAATAAAAACATTCCATTCATACTTGAAGTGTTGATTTCAGCTTGTCTTTGTTGCCAGAAGCTCCGGAACGGCGCAATTCCAGTTCCAGCACCGACCATTATAACGGGTTTCTCTGGATCAGCTGGCATTCTAAAAGTTGGGGCACTTTTTGGCGAGAAGGAAACCAATTTTTACGAACGGTTAAAACGAAATTGAAAATTTCGCGTGCGAATTGCTTACTATCGGATGAAAGCTGGGATTGTTTCGCCTCGGGGAGCATTTTGCAAATAAGTGGAACAGACTCCAAAATGCTTCGGTCCTTCGCCACCTGTGATGAAAAGTTCGAACTCATAATTTAATTAATTTATCATTCATCAAAGGAGGTAAAAGTTGATCCCCACTAAGCCATTAGCTACTACAGAACCAAAGAAAGTGAACATTTCGAGGACTTGGCTTGGTTATGAAATTCGAGCGCTAAAAATAACATTCTTCCATTTCTCATTTCTCCGGAAACCCTCAGAATTGCTCCACTTCATTTTCCAGACGAAAAATGTATTTTCTTGCATGGATCTCAGGATTTTTGGTTTACCATAATATGACACACATTTTTTGGTAATTTCTTTCAAGCTTTTACAATATTTTTGGCCTTTCCAGGTTCGAATTTACCTTGTGTTTTGTAAATCACGATCCCGACAGTGAGGTGTATTTCTTTAGGATGAACTGCTTGAGACGAAGAAATGGAGTAAAATCTCGGTTGCAAATTTGGCAATAGTTTGATAACCAAGGAAGCCGGGGGTTTCACAGAAGGGAATTCTTCCAACACCTCCGACAATGTCTGGTATTTCCAGTTTCGCCAATCCTCGTATTCCTTTGCATCCTGGGATATAAAATTCAAGCCAAAAATTTGAATTCGTTTTTCTCCCATCCGCCATGCCAAAAATAATTTTTGAAGATTCTTTTGACGAAATTTGGTTACCGATGGAAAGTGAATATATTGTACCTTTGCCAGCGTTTCCAAGCGAGTCTTTTCCTCGCCATTTTCTGCAAATTAACGGTTGTAGCGTTCCTTTAGACCTCAACCGCCTCAACATTACAGGAACATTGCTCAGTCCTCACAAAACTAACTACGAACACCTTCAAGACCCTAACCAAGGGTGCAAAATCCAAGAAGTAAAGCTGAAACCCCCGGCAGCATATGTGTAGGATGCCTAGTTTTATTTTATTTTATTTTGTGGAGTGTGTTCTCTTCTGTTTTTGTCATTGGTTTGTTCTTTGTTTCATAATATGAAATGATTGAATGTCTTGGGGGGAGTTGATTGCCAACATCGCAAGGAAATCTGGAGTTGGCGGAGTTGTAATGTCCTTGTAACGAGTCAGGAGTGTTTTGATTGATGCTTGTGGAAGTTCTGGGATTGGTTCCCACGTTTTAGGTTCTTCATTTCGATCTGGAAAAATAAATTGCGTGTCAAGAATAAGCAACGTCATGTAAAGTGTTTCTCATCTATTTCGCAGTTGCTCCTTAAAATTGGATGAACACAAGAGATGATAAACAAATAATTGAATCTCGCACAAAATTTTCAGACGAGCATATTTCCAATAAATTATTCCTATTGATGAATTATACCAATTTTTAATTTTACACATATATATGCCCTCAATTGACTCGATTTCTGCGCGATTTTTAAGAATTTCTGGGCTGCAGTACTATTTCTCAGAGCAGCAAAATTTTATAACCTCTCAGTCAAATTTTGCAGTTGATTTGTACTCATTCCCAAATTATCGGTCTTCTGCTCAATAAACGTCAACTGTCACCTTTAATTTTTCTCGATGGCTCCATATCGCCGAATCTTTGCGTGAGAAGTTTTTAATATATATGTATTTGCACTAACTTTTTCCGTCCGTTTTCTCTCGTAGCGTCATCAGCTGAACTGGCTTTTCGGGTTCAGGGCAATCTGCCAATCTTTTTTGGACACCTTCGACGATGGAAGATTTGTTCTCGGGATATAAAGCAAGGTGATCGCCGGGTTCGAATTTGATCTCCACGGAATAGTTTTCTGCAAGAGCTGTTCCTAGACGGACTAACAAGGTTCCATCGCTGTGGGGAAATTTATTAAAAAAAAATGTCGGATTCAGATTTTAATTTATGGCTAGAGTTTTATAAAATGTGATATATACTCAGTTCCGGATTCGTAGAGAGGCTTGACTTCTAGGACCTCACAAGGGAAAACTTTTTTCCCGTTCTGCTTCGCCAGGCCTGCACAGAGAATATTCGAATGGAATGCAATCTTAAATACCGACTTCTAATTTTTTCACATTTTTTCAATCATTACTTTTGTAGAGTTCGTCCTCAGCCTTGACCAATTGAAATTTGAGCTTATTGGGATCAGAGGCGTTTTCAGAGTCTGCTTCCAAAGAATCCGCGGCTTCCGAACCAGCTGAATTTTCGATGCAGAAGTCTCTGTTGGCAGCCTGAAAATTGGATTTTTATCTTTTCTGGTGTGTATATTTTTTTTTTTAAACTGCGACTGATTCTTCGAGTCACTATATTGATCAATCTCACGTGGTAAACGCTTTTCGCCCAGCTTTTGAAACTTTGCTCTTGACCGCGCAATTCATCCCCGAGGCCAATTTCATGCAATCTTTCTCCTCCCAAATCTTGCAAGTAGGAGTTCACAAATTTTCCAAACGCAGCGAAACTTGGATAAGCGCTGGAACCGAGTCCAAAAACTGCAAATCTGACGCAGAACAAAAGCAAAATACATTTTAGGATCAAGGCTTTTTAATCAAGGCAATGCTCACTTCAGGTTGTTCAGAGGTCCGCCTGAATCCATTGCTTCATTTTCAGCCTTGGACGAATTCGTCGGTTTCCGATTTTCGTTGCTCAGCATCCGTTTGACCAGAGCAGTTGGAATGTACTTACTATAATGAGTCAATTATTCAAAATTATTTTTAAAAATGTATTAAACTTCAAGTTGCTCATTAAGCCGAGAGAATGCTGAATAATCTATGGACTACAAAAAAAAATCTCACCTCACAACCTCCTTGTCGCCCAATTCACCATCACTTAGTTTCATTCCGTGAAGCTCCTTGGCAAAAGTCTGAAATTTTCAAAACTCCAAGTTCGAATGAAATGAATAAAAACGTAAATGTGAAGTGTTGCTATATATACCCCACATGAGAAACGGCTTCAAAATTTCGAACTCTTTGAAAAAAAAAGCACACACAAGCTAGGATGGTTCATAAGTTATGATCAGGAACCTAGAAACGATTTATGCAAGTGCTCAAACTACTAAATACGAATCTTTCGAAACACTTGGGACCAATAATCAGACTTAATCAACCGTCTGGAAATTTCAGCAAATCTTCAAGAAATGTATTCAGCAAGTTCTTGGATAAATTGACAACTTTGTGCTCACCGATGGACATCTGGGGACATTTTAGCATCAGTGAGGCGGAAATTGCTAATATTATTCGAATTTATCAATGGAACACTTGTTTAGCTATTGTAAAAATTGAAACTAGAAAGAGTTTTTAATTTTAAAAGCTTGCCGCGACGGTAAAATTAAAATTGCACATGCACGTCGAGCCTCTAAAGAAATTAGGATTAAATTCACGAAAAAATTTAAACCAGCTTTTCTTTTCCCGTTATTTTCCTTTCGAAGAAACTCACTTCTCCGTTTTCAGGAGGATCTCCGTTGCCAAAAGTTGAAACGACGACGAGAACCAGAGATTCAGAGCGAAGGTCCATCATTGTGTACTCGTCCATTCTCGCCATCTTCGTCAGTATAAGAATAAAATGAACATCAATCCTTTTAAAAGACATGCCAATTATTATCTTGAAAGAATGCGTTTCGTGCACAAAAAATGGGCTCAGCTTCCAAAGAGGCATTCATGACGTGCAAAAATGGATTCCGCATTAGGCTAAGGCAGCATACACATTTTTAGGGTTTTTTTCTCAAGCCTATATCTAAACCTTTTCCGGAGGGGATGAATTCGGATTTGTTTCTATGATCGAATTATATGTCTTTATCCAAATTAGGTAGGATTTGATTTACAGCAGTATACTCACACGAGCGTTGAAAGTATGCGAAAACAAATCCCGGAGGATAGAGGCGAATTTTTCGGATTTCCCAGTTTCAGTCGCATACAAAACCGTTGCCACAGTCCTTGCTTGTAAAGCTGGTAAAAACAGAGCAGACGAAAACACCGTCGCCCTGAAAAAAATAAATAAATAATTTTTATCATCTCGTGCATTTTTGTTCTTGCGTCAATTTTCCTCGATTTGTAAAAAATAATTTTTACTGTGGAATTCAAGCATGAATGTTCCTTCGAATCATACCTAACGATATCCTTGAAGCTTTTCCCTGGCGGTTTTGCTTCGGCATTTTTCCACTTGTGGAGGCGCCAAGCAGGAGTCTGAAAAACATGCATCCAATTTTTCAAAACTCATCAAGCATAAAATTTGAATAAAACCAATCCGCTTAAATTAAAAATAATTGAGCTTCTCGATGGCCGATGAACGGGATTAGCGCACGAAATGATAGTGGGTTAGTTGGAACTCTTCGAAATGGCTTTAAAATCGCAGAGGGAGACATTTTTCGCGTTTCTAACATACTGAGATTGATAAGTTTCAAATTTTCTGGGAACAGGCTGAAAACCTTGAACTTTTCCTTATCATGCCCTTGTGGAGTGATTTGTGCGATTCTTAGGAAACTACGTGATGCAATTGATGTCATGCATTTGAATACACCGTGATGTATTTTATTTTAATGCCTATATACAGGGGGAACTATTTTCGAAAGGCCCGAATGTGTCGAATTGATGTGTAAAGGGGGGATGAGAAACAATTTTGTGAACTTTCTGAATGCTGACAAGCAGCGAAAGAACATTTCATATCCATTGGAATTAGGAGGGTTCCTGGCTGTCCTGCGGCAAAGTAGGGATTTTCGGGGGTTAGTACATTTTAGATTGACAAAAGTTCTCTGAAATTTGCCCAGGTTGGGAAGGCCAACAATGAGAAAAATCTGGGAAATGTGAATCCTTTTGTATTCCAAAATTTCTAATGCGAATTCCTGAAAAAGAAACCACCCAGAGTTAGGAAATTTTTTGTGGTAAATTTTTCTGCAAGATAATGAAAAAATACTGGACTTTTTTCCGAAATTAAGCCTTTGGTGCAAAAAAAAAAATTATTGTCAGTGCTTGTCGCAAAAATAAATGCTGGAGTGTGATTTGCTATGCTAAATGATAAAATTGGGAGTCTGAATTCTTGGGAAGACTTGTCTCTGAGCATCCCTGTGTGAACCAGGAAAGACCTTGGTTCACACAAACTCTTTCTGGAAGCCTCCAAGGCTGTTTTTTGATTGCCAAATCCTGGTTCTGTTATTTGTCCTTGGAGGACAGTTTTCCTGGTTTCTGAATTCATCAAAATCCTCACTCTTCTCTGAGCTCGCATAAGAAACACTCCTGTGTGTTTGTGAAATATTGTGTGCATTGACTGTGTGTTTGAAACTTTGAATTAAACCAACTTTAAAATAGGGTGATTTTTCACACAGGTCTTAGCCTGACCAAATTCTTGTGTTTCATTTCTTAAAATTTTTCAAGTTCAAATCTTTTCTCGTAAAATCTTCATTTGTCAAGGATTTATTCCCAACAATGCTCATGGGCACACATTTTTGCAAAAATATCCCATCTTTGCTGCACAAGAGATATAAATCAATCAATCTTGAGATGTTTATTCTGACCTGATATTCGTAAGATGGTCTCAAATAATACAAGGCCATCTCCTGATGGAAAACTGGAGTCAGAGACCCAGACATAGGAGGCACAATCCAGGCCCAGTCCCCGGGACATCCTCGACGAACGCGGTTCTCATTCCTCAAGTGCT